CCATAACTCATATAAGTTGCTTTGTACTAAGACCTAGATGCACGCCTAGCGGGCGTCAAGAAAGAGATAGGGAACCTTTTACGTAGAAGAGACAACATAGTAACCCTAGATCGAATGAATAGTTGGCCGTAGATAACATAAACTTGTAAGAACTACCTTAGATACATAAAGTTGGAGGCCAAGTCCTCACGTATATTAAAACTGTTTTCAATGTATAGAAATAAGTTGAAAACTTGAAGTAGGTTGAGAGCTAAGTCCTCTGCAGCTTAGCATGTTGATGTTTTATGACAGCCCGAGACCATTATCTGTCTAAGCTAATGACGGGTATAGTGTCGACTCTTACAAGCCTAATCCTATAGCCCTCTACAGTCAACTTCGGAGATAACGCAGCTACCTAAGGTCAAACAAACATCATGCTAACGAGACCCACTTATGGGAAAATCAAGCTGATGTGTGTATCCATCGCAGGGGGCAATTTTGTGGCTGATGTTTGGTCATCAGCATTATTTAATGATCAGCATCTCATCGATATCTGATTGTTTCCCTGACGAAAAGACCTCGATTGATCGATACACATCTTATCCTGGTATAAGCTGAATATTAATATACAACGCAAAATTTGTACCGAATTCAAAGATGTTTATAAAAATTTAGAGTCGTGTGAGCTGCCTAAGAATAAAGACAATAGCCACTAAACATGCCGAAAACCATCTTTAAGCACTGTGGTAGATAGCAGTGACGATTTTTAGTAGTAAAGAAGGTATTGAGATCGACAAGTGTTTTATCGATCGCTAGCATTGAGGTTCGTGGGATAGTCAACCTTTCTACATATCCTAACCTACCTATATAGCTTTCATATCTTTCGTCTACGGAATTTAACAGGAGGCAAACCATTATTTCAAAATGAGAAGCCACTGAAGAGTTTTTATGACCCACGGACCGATTTGACAAGTCACAAGGATATACACTATATCCTCAAGACTTGTCGAATTATATCAATGGAATCAAAATTATTGACGTTTATAGCGCTTAGAAGTAAGTATGTTACTGTGCGCGTAACATCATCATCAGCTGTTCCTGTGCCTAACGTTTCCGTGATTTTCGGCCTTAAGATTTTAGACGTAAAAGACACACAAGCGATGCAGGTTCCTTTCCCTAAATTAGACGGTTCCATATCACCCTCGATACGGACTGGGCTATATAATGTAAGCAATGTTCACATTTAGATCCATGACCTTAATTGCTACGCAGTCCCATGATCAGATGTGCAGAATGCATGAGCCGAACTCTGCTAGAAAGCACAACGGTTTATGGTGCGAGCCTTGGACCATTATGTACTTATAAAAATTATATAGTGTTTCAGATATTGACCCCAAGTGTATAAAAATAGGTAAGTTTAAGCTCTTTGACGGTAGCTAGATAGGCGGACACATCGTATTAATTTCTTTGAGAAATAAATTCACTGACTGCTAAACGTTGGTCGGACTATGTCAAAGAAAGAAAAGTTGAAACTTATGTATACATTTTAGTATCACGTGCTCAATCGATCAATTGAGTAGTAATTGTGACTTAAAGGTAAAAATACAACAAAACCAGGTGCCAAACAAATCGGGAGACCCTTCATATTTGCATTAAGGTATTTAAGGCATACTGTTTGAGCTGCAAAATTTTCGACGATTACTAGAATTGTCTACTGTACCACCGGCTCTCGGATGATGTCACATAAGGCAGCGTGTTATCCTCAATAATAATCACAATTATTACGCACCTGAAGCCAGATCTCCGAGGAGAGATGGAAGCGGCTCTCATTGTCGGCTTAAGATATGTGGAGGTGTAACGGGGTGAGAATGTTACATAAAAACTAACAGTTACAACAATTATTATACATTAAATATTAAGTCTAATATTCTCATCACAATATCATCGAGCTCAGTGATATTGTTGCTGTGACCCAAGGATCTACTTATTTGTTGGCATAGCATTACATCAACCCACCAATTGCTGCTAGACGCCTGCATTGCGTGGTGGGTAGATGTCACCATACATCCTTTGGTATTGATAGATTTACGATTAGACTAACAAGCACGACACATCTTAGAACTTATATATATTAATACAATGATCCTTGTCATTAACTAAGCTCAGTGGTTTAGTATCAAGTCTTACTCCAAGCGTACTGTGTACGCTATCTAATGGGGCACTATTTATCACTACAGTAAGCTAGAGCTTGCTACGCACTGTTGTCAGTGCGTAGCTACCTGTGCATATTTGCAGACAGGATACAGAATAAATGTATATGACATACGTCATTCAAAGTTTATCATTTGCACTCAAAAATGAGTCTGGGGTCCAAAAATTACTAAGCAAAGAGCTTGTGTTGAAGATTCGACTTGAAGGAGACAAGAATGAAATGATAGACAATACCGCTAAATCGACACGATAAATAGGGTGCGATATAGCGGATAACTCAAGCCTAAACGTAGAAAAGCTACACCATTAAGGATGAAATTTTCTTGCGAGTGCGCAGAATGTCGAAAGGATCACTTTTACTTATATTTACTTATTCGTTGTCGTTTAAGATGTTTGTCAGCTCCGCTTATATCCTTTGCTTGAAAGCAAAAGATTATGCCGCTGACCACTCTTTCTCATGCAGTTAGCATAAAGCACACATCCACACAGTTGTACCAGCGTATGCATATCCTCACATCATCATCAGTATTAATAATTAATCGTCACGATGACCAGAGCAGTCGACTGCAAAATGCCGAAATGGTTAGAAGTGCTTTGCAATGCCATGCTGTAACCATCGTTTTGTACCAATCTTGTCATCCGAAATTTGTCAGACCACAATGAGTGACTTTGGCGTAAACACTTTAAAAAACATTCAATGTGGCCCCTGTAAAAAAAATAGAGCAGAAATTTTTATCTTTTATAAATGTGGCTGTGAATTCAAGCAGGCTTGCAAGCATTTATGACATTAAGTATCCCTTAGAAATTACATTCTTGCCCCAATTTCTTAAAAAATAGTAGCTTTTAAAACCTGATTGACTGAGTCACGACCAAGTAGAAACAGTATCACACAGTTTTGACAGCGAGAGGTGTACTCGAAGGTCTGCTTAGCGCATTACACACGCTCGTTTACAGAATTGGTATCGGGATTCTTCTATCTTAGATAATGCGTCGTTAGTTCGTGTCTTCATAACGATGAGCGTCCACAGCGCCATTATCATGATAAAGAAGAGCGAAAAGCTAGGAAGATAACGATAGCTGCCTTCATGTATGTACGCGTATCAGCCAAGCGCGATGACGCACATAGCAAGCGGCATAATAGCGTCTACGTCGCGAGCAATGTTTAATGTGCTCTGTGTTCGATACAAGGGCGTGATCGACCACTTTATACTCCAGGAAAAATGCAGCACGCTATACACGAGCATGTTGCGTGATTACCGCAGCAGTGTGCTCGCCCATCCGTTCTTTCGGCGCTGGTAAGTCCAACGGGTGAAGATACGACCATCATATCGATGATACCACATTTGAGAAAGGATAGACATGCATCGAGACACCAATTGTCTGTGGGCTATGAAGAGAGTGAAGCATGATAAAACGAGAGACCTTGGCCAGATGCGGGACAAAGATGTGTTGACGTCCAGCGATTCTAACTAAAGTTCTGTCGGCATAAAGGTCGTAGCTCTTTGGCGAAACTATTGCCTTCGCGGTACCTTGCCCGCCTATCGACCAGAAACCCAGACAACATACAAGCGTCAAAAACTTGCGGTCAAGAAAGAGTGTGTAAGCGCCACGGCGGATACGTTCGACAACAAGTCGATAATTGCTAGAAGACGACATTAACAGCCAACACGGTGGAGGTCGTTGCAAACGAATCCTGTGTGCTCCACTTGCATGGCACGTCACAGAGATGCACGCCACGAAGCTGCCTGACGTTTGTTGTTCTTACAAAATATCGACCCTTGCATCGACTTTAAGCTTACGGGTCGGAGTATCGACATCTGTGGCATCAGATACAAAGAAGACAGGAGCCTACTAGGCCACAGCAATTTGACGGACGATCGCGCTAACGAAAGTCCTACTGACCATCGGTGAACGAGCAAGCCGGCCAACTGCTTCGTGGGCCATGCGGTAAGATGAGAAGATGAGAAAATGGGCAGATAAGCAAAGGTAGAGTCAGTTGATTGTCAGAAGGCCGTCCGAACTCTTAAACATAGAAGCACTTGTACAAACGACCGCTTTGCTGCAGATACTTTCGGTGTTTGACATCACTCGCTCGTGTCTTCAAAGGTCATTGTATCGCGCGAGCTGTCTCTCCTTCCATCCATCGTTCCTACCTACGTGGATCCTGCAGTCAACTCGTCTCCTTTCGCTAGCTCTCTGCTTTCTCCAAACAAGTCTCGACCGTGTCACAGCTGTGCAGGATGTTCAAGCGTGCCAGGAACCAAAGCCGTTTGCAACGTTTTGCACAAGGCACGACATAAGCGCACTTTTTGAGAAAAGGTGTCGCCATTGCACCACCAGAAGAAAGATCGTTGGCCCTGTCGGTGTCAGTGCAAACCAAAAAGGAGCGGTATATGACGAGCTCTTGGCTTGTATAGGGGCTACCAGCACTAGAGGCGAGCCGAACAGACTTGTGGAGTTGGTAGGACGTAGAGCGGTTAACAACGTGGCAATGGCGTCTCGTCCGTTGCTTGGACCAAAGCTTCGTCCCAGCTCATGATAACCATACCATGGCAGCACGTAAGTCACAAGATATCGACCCGTCACATCACGGAGAGTCTCTCCTTTGACCTCCCCGACCAACGGATACGTTCCCACACCAAACGTCCATCCCATGACCTAACAACTACCAAGTACGCATCGTTTCCACCCGAGCAGCGCTAAAGCAGCCACATCTCTTCGGTCGCTCATGGTAACGTACACTATATAATTTCCCACACCCGACCCGTTGTGTAGGGCACACACCGACGACACAATCGTAGCAGAGCCCAATGCTAAAAGCCGTCGCGGGACACTGGGACCTCCTTCTGGTCGCAGCGGTCGTGCTCGTCTGCCAAGTTGGCCTCTTCTACCTGCACGCGTGGCGCTGCCAGCTGCTGCAGCACCACCAGTCGAGCGATTCGCTTCTGGTGCTCGTCGTCACGGATGTCCATATGCTCGGCAAGAGACGGCGCTCGTGGATCGAGCGCTGGTGGGTGGATTGGCAGGTGTGGGCGTCTGTTCGGGCAGCGGTCGATGTGCATCGTCCCGACGTGGCGCTCGTGCTGGGCGACCAATTCGACGAAGGCGGTCCCTGGACGTCGAATTCGGATTGGAACGAGTATGCGGTTCGCTTTTTCCGAGCGGTTGCCCGTTTGCTGCCGCTCAAGACGCTGTACCTGGTACGATGGGGTGCAGAGATTTTATGTATATGTGTATGGTAACCAACAAATGGAGTGTAGAGGCTTATGGGGCCACAAATGTATATCTGGTCGAACTTGCGCAACGTGTCAAAGCAGGTGGGGAATCACGACGCGGCGTTCGGACGGGACCTGCAGCCAAAGGATCTTGTGCGCTTCGAAGATACGTTTGGAGCTGCGAATCGCATCGAAGAGAGTGGAGGGCACGTGTTTGTGAGTCTCAATACAATGGCACTGGACTCAGACGTGACGAGGGAAGCGGTGCAGGTCGAAGCGAGAAACTTCTTCGAAAGTATCAATGCGAGCGAACTTCGAGCGCACGCGGACGGTCGTGTGGTGCTGCTGACCCATCTACCGCTCTTCCGTGCCGACGATCTCCAGTGTGGCGAAGCGCGACGGGCCGAGTCGGGGCACGTCACGTACGAACACCCAGGCTTTGCCTATGCGGAACACCATCACGTCCTCTCGCGCGAGCTTTCTGCAGAGCTGCTGAGCAAGTTGCAGCCGGATCTCGTGCTGTCGGGACACACCCATGCGTGGTGCGCGTACCAACATCCCAATGCAAAGGCTATGGAGTACACCGTCCCAGCGTTTTCGTGGGGCCAGCGGCCGGACCCGAGTTACGCGCTGCTGCAGCTGCCTCGCAGTGGTCACGATCACCGGCCAAAGGTGTCTGCGTGCCACTTGCCGCACGAATCGTTTGTCTTTGCGACGTATGCGGTGACGCTTCTTCTCGTCCTACTGGTCCGTGCGGTCAGGTGTGTTCGCACACTGCAGACGTCAACCGCTAAGGCCAAAGGCGCGTAAGCACGTGCGGAAGCCCGCGAGCACACTGCATGATCCACATGAGGGACCGTGAGGTGTGGGACTTACTTTGAGGTGGTGCATGCGAGCCATCCATAGTTGCGAGCCCGAAAACTGAAGGCAACAGACGGACGTCAGCGCTTTGCGTTGCATGGATTCAGTGTACGGTATGCGCCTGTCGATACAGCGAGTCGACGCCTATCATACTGACAACGCAAACCCCCAAAGGTAATTGCGTACAGTGCACTGGTACGTGGTAATGCACACTGTACGATTTCGTACTTGCGCGTGTGAGACGCGCGATTCAGGCCGTGCCTATCGATATATCACGAGATGAACACACTGTGGCATCAACGTGCGGACGGTTTTCGAGGTCGTGTCCCCATAGTCGACGAACAATAGAGCGTAAGGCCCAATGTGTCGGTGAATGCACACGAGGGCATTGAAGCAAAGACGGAAAGGTAAGTACGTTCTAACAAATTTCTATCAGTTTGACGCACATTGCGCGTTTAGATTGATAGAGAAAATTGCTCGCCCTCCCGAATTATGCTCTACCTACTTTTGTGAAAGCGGATAACTGCTGATCTTGCTTTGACACAGGCTTCGCTTATGGTGCTTCATCTGAAGTAGCACCTGTCGAAAGGAATACGTTGCGCTCGTACCTCGAAGAATCGAATCGATACGACCAAAATATCACGAATAGTCGCAAAATGTCGCTGCTGCAAATAAAGGCCAACAACACAATGAGCATTTTTCCAGCATCATAAAAGGAAGAGATTACAGCACGAATGAGCACGCGAAGTGCTTTGAGTGATGGCCAAAAATTGTCAAATACTCAATTTTTGAATGTTTTTGTGCCTTCTCTATTTGAAAAAAGATGCAAATCGCATTTTTGTTCTCCGGTACAAAACCAAAAAGCCAGCCCTCGTTCCGGACCAACTTTCACACTGATGGCTAGCAAGAGCCAGCAACGAACGATCGTCACAACATTTTTGCCGGGACGGCCTCACAAAATAGGTACCCCCACATTTACGTACGCCGAAGTCAAGCCGTAAGTTAGCTTGGACTGGAAGGAAGAGATGGGCGAGTGCTCGCCGACGTGGTTCGAAGTGTTCGAGCAGGGCCAGCAGAAGCGCTTCGAGCTCTTCGAAGCAATTTCGACGGCGCAACATTATCTGTAAGGGCAACAACGCAGCGCTCACGCCAAATTGTCCACCGTTCATCTCGATGGGCAAGACAATTTGTATTCACGTTATTTCATCGCGCAGACTGGAAAAGAATGGTCACTGGGGGCACATAAAGCAGTGCATAGGCCATGTAACAAGTTGACACGCTGCTTTCAGCGACGAGTTTTCGTCAACAACGTGATTCAGTAGCAACTTTGGCTGCACGACTGGACAGCGCGTTTCCAATCAAACCTTGCCGGTGCTTTTAACAACATACTGAAGATCAACATGCGAGCGATGAGCTTGTCAGAGCTTTCGATATCAGGCTTAAGAGTAAGATGCAAGCGATGATGACCTAGTGAGAGTTTCAATTACATCGGTTACCCAAATGAGTGAGTGGACCAACACACGTTAGCAGGGGTGATAGTTTTGGAATCGCAAATTAGTGCGGGGTTCAGTCTTACGCAAAAATAGCGATCACCAAATAATTGAGCCATCGACGGCCTTTCAGGAATCAAAGCCCCGCTTATCATCTCAATGACATGCGAGGTGGCTCAAAAGTATCAGAAGCCCGGGCACGATTGGGTGATGTCCGTTAGTATCCCGTCGACACCTGCTTTTTGCGACTCGCCGACCTTCCCTGCGCTTTGTTTGCAACAGAACTAGATCTAAAGCAATCCGTTGTCTAATTTAGCAGTTGTAGTATGGCACAACTCATGCATTACATGGTAACTCACTCATACAGTACCTTGACAACGTTTATTCATACGGCAGTGGAAGGCAGACTGGGCCGAGTAAATGATCTAGCAGCAGGATCGCGGGTCGTGCGAGCTTCCCGTTCCAACCGCTTCTTCTCCAAGAACGCATGCCATAGCACCCGACCGCCCTTCTTGGAGTACCAGAACAGTGATGCCACCATTGTCACGACCACAATAGCTGCGATAATGTATCCAATCACCGCCACCTCCGTGCTGTCGGCGGTGCACATGTAGACCAGACCGAGCAGGACGCCAGGGGCGACTAGAAACAGGAAAAGAAGAAACAGTACAGCAGTCATCGGCCACGCCGCACTCGCGAACGCCAGTGATCGGGCCCAGCTCAGAACGGGCTTGCGCGTGATTGGAATCGGATAGAAAAGCAGGATCCCAAACACGTTGAACCAAAAGTGCACAAGCGCAATGGCAACCGAATCGGACTTTCCAGTCACGAGCGCAGCAAGTAGCGCCGTACCGGTAGTCCCCAAGTTGGCGCCAATCACCAACGGGTAAACTTGTTCCAGCGTGATAACTCCCAAGCCGGCGAGCGGAGTGATCGTGGAGGTCACGACGGTCGAGGAATGGACACAGAATGTGATGAGCGTACCGACAACGATGTTGACGTAGCCGTTGTAGTTGAGTAGCTTGGAGACCAGATGCTTTGTCGTGCCCGTGAAGACCTTGGCCAGCATCTTGACGAGGGTGAACAAAGAACATACTAAGATGCAGACACCAATGCAGGCAGTGATGGCCCCGATGCTCCCATCACTCATACTCGAGCCCTCGAATACACCGCCCGTGACAAATGACGGTATGGACGTGCACTCGATGGCGCCAGCCGCAACGTCGTAGACAGCGCCTTTGTCCACGACAACCACTTGCTTTGCAAGTGGGTTCACGACAACGTCGACAGGACTACTAAAGGCGCCGCTGTCGGTGTGGGCATTTGACATGGCGACCGACAGCTGTTCGAGCGGGTGGAAAGCCCACTCCAAAGGGAACAGCACAAAGACGGACCACAGATTGTACATGTCGTGAACAGTGGCCGCCGCCATAGCTCGCTGGAAACAGCCGAGATCGCCGACTTGGCCAAACGCTACCATGATGCACGTGACGCACGTGCCAATGTTAGCCCCCATGATGACAAACACACCCTGGCGAATAGTCATGCCACTGGAGCCCACTAAAGCCACGACGATCGACGTCACGGTGCCGGAACTATGAAGAAGAGCAGTGGCAATGGTGCCGATCATGAGACCAGCTACTGGGTTGTCGGCAAAGTCAAAGGCGCCCTTAGTGTCGCATCCGAGTGCGACGGTAATGCCGTCCCCGATGAGCTTGACAGCCACCATAAAAAAATACAGCGACGCCAGCGACGCAAAACTATAGAAGATACCCCACATGATCTTCATGGGCAGCGGCATCGTCGAGTAGTAATGCTCCTCCTCATCGTCGTTGTCCACGTCTAACTTCTGGTGACGGTCAGCATGCATCGCGCTTGGCCGCGACTCCGACACTGGTGTGGCCAGTCGTTCATAGTCATGTGAGGTTTCGTCCACGATCATGACTGCTGCGGACTTGTTGAGCGTGGGTCGAGATGGAAAGTGAGGCATATATCCCTAGGCGAGAACTTGTTGCGAAAGAACTGTGACAGCAAGTCGCGGTCAATGAGGCACATCGTGCGGACCCACCTGGCGTAGAAACGAGTGCATCGATACCTGCAGTTCTGAGCACAGTCGTTGAAAGGGCGGTCAAACGAGTGCGATTCGTGTACGCAGCCACAGTGCGTCAAAGTATCGCCCATTGCTGCTAGAATCTGCGGTGGGCTGTTGCGTGTGGTAATCGACACTTGCCAAGAAGCTGCTGCAGAGCGAGTTGGAGTGGAAAGAGACGTTACGCTGAGCAAGCGAAGTCGAGGTTACCGCCATCGGTCGGTTCTTTTCTCTTACAATGAAGATAGAGAGCAAAGGTCTGACTTGTCCAAGATTCTCTCCACCAATTCCTTGACACGACGGCTCGTACTACAGGGACAGGGAATCTTGCCCGTCATTGTATCTTTCGAACACACGAAGAGGTACGCTGAGGTGCGATGCTTCGACCGCATCTCACGTGCTTTTTTCGGACCGTTGACTAGCAGACGGACCCACCTGATTTACGTACGTGGAGCTCGTCTCATGCTGACATTGTCGCTCGCCGACAACGTTCGTTGATTGTCACGGAAGAGCGAACAAAAATCCAGAAACTTTTCACGGGATGATCGATGGACACAACTTCCTGACGTGAGCGATAAGTTGACAGCTTTTGATCTTCAGCGACCAGAGAAAAGGACGTGCCGTTTCTGACACAGGGCCGATCTTACCCGTTGCACGCACATCTCTTCCTATGGTTCCATATGTCAGATGTGGATCGCATTCTGTCATACGGGACCGACGGAAGAGACCAAGATTCACAGCGGGCGAATCGTGCATGGGAACAGCATAATTGCAGTGCAAAAACCTCCACCCACGAGTCAGCAATGGTAGGTCGCACCAACCAGCCTCAGAAACGCTCGTTGTACATTCACTAGACTGCAGTTTCTGCGAGCGAGTGATAGAAGGCACTCTGTTGTCACTCTGTTGGAGATGGAAGGAAATCGTGATGCCGTTCAGTCGGTTCACGCCGCATCAATCTGCGCTTCCGTGTAGTGGCACCATCGATCTGATAGCTTGTGGCAGCTTGATATTTGCAGTGGAACGATGCATTAGGTTTGCGTGCTGATTGATCCACATGCATTTGGATCGTAGGCTACAGTGCTCATGCGGGTACGGTAGGCTTTGCGGTGGGCGGCTTGAGCATTTATCCTCTGTGGCGCACATCATTTCTAGTTTCGGAGCTGTCCTAGATACGTGCAGCAAGTTCAGCTGCACAATTTGTAACTCTTCGGAGCGTCCAGATCAATTTTTTGCGCACCCAACAGGCCTCTGCATGAACGCAGTCACGCTTTTCTGGGATCGATTGTCTGGAGAAATGGGTCATGCTAATTTTGAGCTCCACACATCAGAACTCTAGTGGACTCTTTCGTAGTTTGCTTTTCCCATTTCAAATACAGATCAATCATAAAATACAGATCAATTATAGAATACTGATCAATCAGCAACAATACCAACGACTACGCACAAATCGCCTGCAACGTATCAAGCATAGCATCATGAAGCAACTTACTCGGGCAAGAAATGCACGATACCAAACAGTGCCGCATAGCTGTAGTGACGACATTCAGCAAGCAAGTCTGAATAAAAAGAGCCGCAAAGACAGAAAAACTCGCTAAAACGTGCTGCCGGTCCTCAGACTTCTTCACGTCTTATCACTGATAGTTGTAACAGATCGCAACCATGCAGGATTCTACTTATCAGAAGTACACTTCAACTGTAACGCCGTGCAAATAGATCGGTGTTTCCAGTGTCCACGGGAGCTCGTCAACACGTGTATAAATCAAGACGCCAGCCGCAACCATGTATGATTCTACACCCGTCATAGACCTTCGATCGGTTGACCTCTATGCAAAGCACAACATCTTGATGCGTCGATACTGCATAGGATCATGTGCTTCGCGCATCGCACTTATGCTTACCCGAATTCACCATTGGGAAAGATGGACAATTCTTTCCAGTAGACTTTCGTAGTTACATTTACGATACATGCGGCTACGAAGTTCACGTGGCATTGCGGCTGTATCACATGAGGACAGTGCGTGGGAAACAGAGAGTGGCGATGGTGGCATTGCTGTCCGTTTTTCGGCGGACAAAGATGCTTTTTCAGATAATTGCCGGCTAAGTGCAAGCCTCTCTACCTTCTCTGCTTTCAGCAAAAGCACGTCGGTGCAAATTTGACACTACGTACTGCACAGTGGCATGCAGTAGCTTTGGCCAAAATGTAGCATCTCTCTCATAGGCACGCCAATGCACGATAGTCTCAGTCTGTGCCTACGCTCCGAGCGGTAGACGAGGGGATATCGACCCAGTAAAGAAGCTATGCGAATGTGCTACCGTTTGCAATCTTCTCAGTCTGCGACATGCACATTTATTCCTGTCGTTTCGTGGAGACTTTAGGCGATCACGTGGAAAAAGGTGGACATCAGCGTTTGTAGAGCTTGCTGTCGAGCCGAACCCGAATGATAAGAAGTATGTGAAATGTGGAGGGCTGCCGTTACAGCTCAGTCAGACCGTCAAGTGAATAAATGATCGCAGTTTCACTAAACCTATGAAGTGTCCTGACATGAAGATGTCATTTCCAGCATCCGCTGAGCACAGCCACGAGTTCGAGTCGGCTTCGCGTATTTCGTACGTGTGAATCATCTTAAATGCTGACTTTGTCACAGATATGTATAGCATGACGACTCGATATTCAGGTTGTTTTTGCCATCGAACGTTGCCCACTTCTGCTAGATGCTACTGCGAACGTGCTAGATGTGTCGTTGCCGCAATCTAGACGCGCACCAACAAGCGAGACCGGTACACTAAAATCGAGCGAATGATTGGGGTCCGCAGTGTTGCCTGGCACCAGCTTACGTGCTGGCAAAGATATCCGCTGCCGTTCATGTTCGGAACGCAAGCAAAAACTAACGATGTACGTGAATACAGTACAGACGCGATCGACATATCATCAAACTTAGTCGTGCGTGCGACACGCAGATAAGATGCAGCCACTTTCGACACATCCTACAGACGTGTTTTTATGCTGATCTTGCTCCGCGCGCTTTATCTGGTGATTGTACATCTCAGGCGCTTCTCGACTGGTCGATTCCTTCGCCACTCGTGCTGGCTAGACGTGTCTCATGATCCAAGGACGATGACCGCGTAGCTGAAGAATGACGGAACGAAGAGACACGCGGTCGATAGCTCCCGCAGCAAACTGTTCCGTTCTGTTTTTACGCAGCTCGTGGACCTTTTGACTGAAAGAGCTGATCCGCTCATCGAAGTGGTTCGCATCGCTGGTCCCGAGTCACTGGTCATGTACACGCACGCATTTGACGCATTTGTTGATCGTAAGCAGATAAAGTGAAGCAAAAACAGCTGGGGTAATTGATCGTACACCGGCTTCAGTACATACCCGAAGGGCGAAGCCGCTAGTGAGTGTACGTACGGTGAATTCCGGACTTCTCGGCAGTTACATGATATATGTGCGTGTACCTGTAAGCGCCACGCGCAAACGCGCACGCGATTGACCATGAAGCGACCGAGTGCGAGCAGATTCGAGGCAACAAGCAACGTTCGAGCTTGGGGGCAGTGGCGGTCTCGCAGCTCTGGCACTACAACGTCGCCACTACCACCGCCCGCACAATAAGCTGCAATCCACCAGCAGCGGTAGTCAGAAGTGAAAGAAGACTGCTGCCTCCATGACATGCCAGAGTTTGTAAAGACGTCAAGGAGTACATTACATGTCGGAACAAGCGCCGTGCGAAGAGCTCTCGCGCCAGACGTGCCTGTTTATAGAGCGCGAACGCTATACGAGCTCGTCGAGGTGATGCAGCAGCAGAAAAGTTGGCTTTCTCGGGTGTTTTTCACACCTTATGACGCACATCCATCTCCCAGTCGCGAACCCCATCATGGGGAAATGGGTACAAGAATGTCCGAAACATGTCACAGGCGATCCGGCTGAGAGGACTGACTCACATCAAAAGGAGAGCGTCAGCGCTTGATCCTTATGCTATCATCTTATGCCTATCCACGATCTTTTGGTCGCTGCTCACATGTAAACTGGAATCGGCCGCTCTTTGACCTTCGCGTGAGGTCGAAGTGCATTACACGCGGACGCGTTCATCAATGCTTACCTGAAGGCTCGGGCTGGACTGCAACCGACGCAACGCCTGCACAACGTCGAAAGTCGAGCGGTTTCGGCAATAGCACTGGACCCAAATGCCTTCCGTTCACAAGTGATCGTGCCAGAAAGTTGAAGTGTGTCCTTACGCCCCAGTTGGCAAGAAGTGTTGTACTCGAGCACATATGCAGCAGATACGAGACACCGCACTACGTCAATATCAACGGCGGCAGGTGATTCGTGGTCAGTTGCATCTGTGCTGCAGTCTTCGATGGGAACGAGGCATGAACAACGTGACCGGACGAACAGTGACATTCGTTTGTAGGTCTCACCGACTGTCAAATGTTCGTGAGTTGCATGGCGCATACATACGCAACGTTTTGCAAAACGGATTTCCCAAAGAACATCATCATGACCACTCGTCCGTCCGTCGCGTTTTGTCAAACGACGACGTGGCGACGAAGAAAACGTGTGTTCACCGTGATTCCTCTGCATGTCATCCGTTTTCTTCTTCCGAAAACGCCTCGAGAAGCGCACGAAGCCGACAGTTGCAGCCATGTCGGCACTAAACTCTGCAGCCTCCCGCCCGAACGGGTCCGCAAAAGTTTTGCTAGCCGGCAGCGCAGGCACCGCAAAGCTCGTGCACTAGGCGGTCTGCAGACACCAATGCACGAACTGCACAGCGCACAATGATACCGACTTGAGGTCCCGCTTCTGCCCGTTACCGAACCGTGATGCCCTTCGTATGAAGCCTGTGACTCGCCGATTCCGTGTCGCGTCACTCATCCCACGCTGGTCAGATCCTGACACGGATGCAAAGCCTCGGCGCACTGCAGGCTCCGCACACATTCCCCATGACAAGCAAAGAGCGCAAGCTCCGCGGCGAGAACACCGCCACGGCAGCGGCCACCGTACGTCATCCAGAGCGACTTTGCTGGCCGATATACGTGGCACTGAGCGTGCGAAGAAAGGATCGCGTAGCAGTAGCAGCTAATTATGACACGAGTATCGGACGAGGCGAAAGTCGTAACGTCCCGTTCGTGTACAAGCTACTGAGGCCCGTTACGCCATAAAACGTACGAGATTCTTCTAATCGGCAGCAACGGGTCTGACACGAAGACTGCCGTCGGTCTGCTGGCCGCCGCCCGCCCGCCCCCAATCCCCAGCGCTGCTCCTCGTACTGTTCTGGCGCAACTCTGTCGGTGCAAACGTCCAAGCGCTGGAATAAATCGAGTGTTTGAGCATCACGTGGTCCGCTGCGAGTCTGATCCTGGCTGGATTTTCCTGCCGGCTCGACCCAGCGTCTCGAGCACGGCAATGGGACGCCAGTAACTGGCTGCTCATGCGCGCTTGGTGCCCCTTGAAACAGCCCAAGAGACCTTTACGTACTTGCCCGTGGGGAATCAATCAGACATGCAGTGTACGCGAAAAACGACCCCGTATGTATTCATTCCAACGGGTTGTACAGGCTCGAAAAGATCAAACGACAGATCGTCCACAGGAAACCCAAGTCTGCTGCCGACACCGGCGGGATCATTACATGTAATGGCACTAGATCGGAAACACAAAAACGCGTGCGCCCACATGTACCCAGCACGAGTCAGGCCATGGATGGCCCAAACCGAGCACGTTGTGAGCCATTGGTACACTACAAAGCTTGCTAGCGCACGGCGGGGGTAGGAACGAACACACGTCACGTCCCAGGGCCCCCAACTTGTGCGAGTGGGTTTCGTCATTGTTCCGCTCGGCAAATCCATCGACCGGCAATTGTGAATGGCTTGAAACAGAGAGTGACTGATGTTTGCCAACGATGTTCGCCTCTCGTCCGAACCGAACCAACAACCACCGGAAAAGGTCTTTGCCACGCCAACTCGCTGCTCACGAGCGAGTCGAGACGTCGTGTTGGCAATTCGTTTCAGTTCGTTTCCGTGCGCCGTTTATACAAGCGAAAGATAGAGAGCGAGAGAGAGAGAGAAAGCGCGCGCGTCCTATGGTCGGCCTCCCCGCCACGTTAATGTCGGGAGGTGCGCGGGCCCAAAACCGTCTGTCCGGGCTCAACCGGCTCCCACTCCCCGCACCACACGACCGACACACCACCACCAACACACCAACGAACCGCTGCGGCTTTGCGCCGTGCGAGTTGGGTCATTTCGGAATTGTCCACGGCCGAGCACAGTCGACGAAGTGCCTGTTCGAGAGCTCACGGTCTGTCGTGTCCCCCCTTGGCGTTCTGGTCGGAGCTTGGGAACTTTCGCCATCGTCTGCTTTCGTACGCCTCAAGTTGCACACACACACACACACACACGTACAAACACAGACACACACACACACACTCAATCACACAGACACTTACTGTTTGAAGCGCCATGACGTCGTTCAAAGTCGTGACGGGCGACCTCATCCGTCTGATCGAGACGCCGCATGAGAAGCAGCAAGACGCGTTGACGCGCATGGGCGGCCTCGAAGGCATTGCGGCCTCGCTCCGCGTGGACCTGCGCCAGGGACTGGACGCGAGCAACGCGGCCGACCTCACGAAGCGCGAGGAGTCGTTTGGCAAGAACTACGTGGCCCCGGCCAAGTCCAAGAGCTTTCTCGAGCTCATGTGGGACGCCTATCAGGACATTACGATCATTGTGCTGACGATCTCGGGCTTCATTTCGATCATCCTGTCGTCGACCGTGGGGGACCACCCCGAGACGGGGTGGGTCGAAGGCGCCTGTATCATCTTTGCAGTCGTTGTCGTGACGCTCGTCACGGCCGTGAACGACTACCAGAAAGAGTCGCAGTTCCGCGAGCTCAATGCGATCAAAGAGGACGAAAAGATCAAAGTCCTTCGCAACGGACAGCCCGCGGAAGTCGGCAAGTGGGGCCTCGTGGTCGGCGACATTGTCCGCGTCGACTTGGGCGACATCATCCCCGCCGACGGCATTGTCTTTGACCAGAAGGAGATTAAGATGGACGAGAGCGCCATGACGGGCGAGTCGGACCTGCTGTCGAAGAGTGCGGAGAACCCGTTTCTGCTGTCGGGGACCAAAGTCATGGAGGGCGTCGGTAAGATGCTCGTGGTCTGTGTGGGGGAGAACTCGCAAGCCGGTATCATCAAGAGCTTGATCAACGGCAACCGCCGTGGCGGTGCCGCTGTCGCTGCTGCTGCTGCTGCTGGAAGTGACGATAAAGCGGCGTCGAAGAACAAGAAGAATCCGGACGCCGAGGGACAAGTGTATGTCGAGATTGAGACGCCGAAAGAAGGGGCGTCGATTGAGGTGGAGAAGAGCAAAGAGAGCGAAGACGAAGAGGAGAGCCAGTCGCCGCTCGAAGGCAAGTTGTACAGCTTGACGGTGCTCATTGGGAAGCTGGGGACTGTCGTGGCGTTGCTGGTGTTTGTCATCATGTCGATCCGTTTCTCGATCGACACGTTTGTGCAAGACGGTATGCCCTGGAAAGGCAGTTACATCAGCGACTACCTCAACTTTTTCATCATTGCCATCACGGTGCTGGTGGTCGCGATCCCCGAAGGTCTGCCACTTGCAGTGACCATTGCTCTCGCCTACTCTGTGAAGAAAATGCTCGCCGACAACAACTTGGTGCGTCATTTGGACGCTTGTGAGACCATGGGCAGTGCCACGACGGTGTGCTCCGACAAGACGGGTACGCTGACGACGAACCGCATGACTGTGATGCAATTGTGGATTGGCGGCCAGGAGTTTTCGTCTGCTGCGGCGGGTGTCGGCGCGTTGTCGGAATCGACGAAAGAGGCGTTTTGCACGGGCATTGCTGTGAACTCGACGGCTGAGATTCTGCCCTCGAAGGTCGAAAACGGTCAGCCCGAGCACACTGGCAACAAAACGGAATGTGCTCTGCTCCAGTTCATCCGTGACGGCGGCATGGAGTACCCGGACATTCGCTCGAACAACGAGGTCGTGCACATGTTGACGTTCAGCAGTGCGAAGAAGCGCATGTCCGTGGTGGTCCGTCGCACAGCAACGACGTCTCGTGTGTACACAAAGGGCGCGACAGAAGTGGTACTTGGTCTGTGCCAGGACATGCAGGCCGTAGATGGCTCGATCGAGCTTTTGGACGAGGCCCGCAAAGCGAAGATTGGCGAGGAGGTCATTGAGAAGTACGCCTCGCAAGCCTACCGAACGCTATGCCTGGCCTACCGTGACTTGGATGTGCCTGCCGAGGATACGATGAACTGGTCGGACGAGGACGTGGAGAAGGACTTGACGTGTGTGGCGATCGTGGGCATCGAAGACCCCGTTCGTCCGGAGGTGCCCGATGCGATCAAGATGTGCAACACGGCTGGTATCACGGTGCGCATGGTGACAGGCGACAACATTACGACTGCACGGTCGATTGCGAGCAAGTGCGGTATCACCAAGCCGGGCGATGGTTCGTTGATCATGGACGGCCTGACGTTCCGCACTCGAGTGCTGGACGCGCAGGGAAACATCATCCAGTCCGAGTTCGACAAGATTTGGCCAATGCTGCGCGTGCTTGCTCGTTCGTCGCCGAAGGACAAGTATACGCTTGTGTCTGGGTTGATGCAGAGTAACGTCGCACCGCACGGTCCTCAAGTGGTTGCTGTGACTGGTGATGGCACGAACGATGCTCCTGCCCTGAAGAAAGCCAACGTGGGTTTCGCCATGGGTATCAGTGGCACGGCCGTTGCGAAGGACGCCTCCGACATTATCTTGATGGATGACAACTTCAACTCGATCGTGAATGCCATCAAGTGGGGCCGCAACGTGTACGACTCGATCGCCAAGTTCCTGCAGTTTCAGCTGACGGTGAATGTGGTTGCTATATCTCTGGCGTTCATTGGTGCGGTTGTGCTGGAGCAGTCTCCTCTTTCGGCCGTGCAGATGCTTTGGGTGAACCTGATTATGGATTCGTTTGCGTCGCTGGCTCTTGCAACGGAGGAGCCGACGCCGCAATTGCTGGAGCGCAAACCTTATCCGAAGACGGAGCCGCTGATCTCGAAGAAGATGACCAAGCACATTCTTGGTCAATCGACGTACCAGCTCGCTCTGTTGCTGGCCATTGTGTTCTCTGGTGAGAAGTGGTTTGACATCCCATCCGGTCGTACGCATGATGTTGCTGACGACGTGAAAGACGATCCGAGCGTGCACATGACGATCGTGTTTAACACGTTTGTGTGGGCGCAGCTGTTTAACGAGCTGAATGCGCGCAAGATCCACGACGAGATCAATATCTTCACCGGCATTACGAAAAACCGCGTGTTCATCTACGTGGGCGTGCTCCAGGTCGTGTTGCAGTACGTGATGGTCCAGCACACGGGTGACTGGTTCAAGTGCAAGCCGCTAAGCCTCAACCAGTGGCTCGCCTGCATTGGCATGGGCTTCGTGTCACTGCCGCTTGGGTTATTGCTGCGCTTGATTGATATGAAGAATGCGCCGAACTGGATGGCAATCTGCCGCGAGGTGGATACAGAGGAGGTGCGCGAGATCCGATCGGGCAATGGCCAGGCTCTTTGGGTGCGCGGCTTTGCTCGCCTCCGTGCGCAGATACGCGTCGTCAAGGCATTTCAGAAGGGTCTTCAGTCGAAGGCCCTCCTCAAGGGGTAGTCTATTTAGTACTCATGTATGGACATAATGCTTTTTCACTTTGCTCTTCCTGTTGACGTTGTTGGCACGCGCACATGTTGTTGCCATTTCTAGCCAAAGCACATTGACCAGCAAATGCCGCAGAGCCAATTTGGCCCGAACTACCACCGCTTGTGTCCGTGCGCTGGTTCAAGCTGCTCTTTTACATTGCGTCAGCACTCTTTAAGGTTCCGGATGAAGTGTGGGCTTGCGATTGCCGCTCGCACCCGCTCGACGGATGCCGCTTTCTCGATTGTAGAGGGTGCGGCAAAGTGATGCTTTGCAACGGTATCACAACTGTAACGTCAGCACGTGAGTTTTCATGGATCCCTCATCCGAACTCATTGTTCATTGACATATGATGCCTCGAGGCAATCGCAGCCGTGCGAGTGGAATCTGATCAGGCCATATCTACCAGCACCGATCTGGCACGAAGCACAGCGTGTACCCAAGTCATGACTAACACCCCAATGCCTCTCATTGCTCGGTCTGTCAAGTAACGAAGCAATAAGGATCCACAATACTGGAGTCGCTCTCTTCTTCTGCGGTTTGATGATCAGTCTGTCTGTTAACAGGTACTTGCTTTCCGTCGCTCGATGTTTACTCCTGCAAGAAGGAAGAGGTCTAGGATAGCTTTGTTGGAGCCTCCGCAGATGGATGATCTGGATGCTGCTGACAAGCCGATAAGCACTCAGGAAGCCACGCTCGAGCTGGAAACAGAGCTTAGCGGTCGCGAGCCACGTTTCTGCGTTCGTCCTGTCCAATTCGAGGCAGGTCTGTCGTGCTGCATTGCTACGCATTGTTCACATTGGTGCCTGTTTCAACCACGTGAAGGTCAGCAATGCTACTGAAGGAGCTACAGCCATAGTCTTGCTGTTGCTGTTGCCAAGCGAGTTGCTGACGTCTTCTGTCATGGTGAAGGTGCAGTGAGGCTTTTCGGTAAGCTAACGCCGCTCTTTGGCACACAGCAGTGCCGTGACCGCCTCTAAAGTGCACCCGACTACGCATATGGCAAAGGTGCAGCTATGTCCGACTCGATTCATTGAGCCGCAGAAGTACGAAGCCGACGCAACGTTCTTGCCACGACGACTCTAAGTTTGATGACTAAACGAACGGTAAGCACTGCGCTGACGAGGAACAGCTGCACAGCTGTCATTGGTTTCACGCGTAATGAGTGATCCACGATGGTACGCACGAAACGCTTCGTCTGAGTTCCGTTACCAGCGTCAAAAGTAGCCATAGCCGTTTCTCGCGTCGGGATGCGCACTGCCGCCGCCTTTATCGAAACGATGGCGTGCGTACGCACCGGCATCGACGTAGAACATGTCAGCTGTTACCTTTGCAACAATGGTAACGACTGGGAAATGGCGGTGTATTACTGCAACCCGTCATGCCTTTCGGTCCAAACCGTCAGTCGTGATCCTTTACCACCGATATCCGCTTCTGAACGAGACATTACAGCGCCGCGAGATGACGGATGGATAGCACAACGGAAGGAACGCGAGCCGACTGGGAAAGATGGACGTTTCGGTAGTGTTCCGACAACAGCCTCGAAAAAGGGCCCGGTAGCTTGACGAAGAGAGCGGACCTATTCGTTTGCAGTCATCCACCACAAGAGTAATGATGGTGTATGTCGAGCGGGTTGGCTAGTCACCACTTGAAACACGCCACCATCATCGTAGCAGTCCATTTTGGCGCAAAGCAGCATTTCCTGGGAGACCCCAATGCGTACTACTGAAAGATCGATTGACACGTCACGAATGTTGGGAAGTCCTGCTTGCATGAACCCATGACATCAATGGCTTTGCCATCAAATGATTCGACACGAGTATGTCCGTAATCGCGACAACACCTTACAGTCGATCCGTCACATTAGTCTGAGCTAACAACGTCCCCGCGTCTCTTCTTCGAGCCTGCAGACGTCGGTGCACTGGAATGTAGATGTTCCCGCTGGTACTTGTGCAGTAAATTGGTCTACAACAACGTCCACACACCAGTCAGTGAGGCCACTGTGCTACACGCATGGCCAACATGGCGTCAGTGCAGCAACACGCATCAATGTCGTCACCAGATTGGATTGTTTCCTGGCACAGAGTAAGACATCCTCTGATTTCATGATCTTCCGATTGGCATGACGCGCGAAAAACTGCAGCTCTGTCGCTAGCACTGCAGACATTCGTCAGCCGCTCTACAGCAACAGTCAGGCCACGTGTCGCTACTCTACCTTCAGCTTGTTTGTAGACGACATCGGCGAGCAAGGCCATGGCTTCCTTGGACATTGCAGGTTTAGTACGTGTGCATTGTTCCTCCTGTTGCTGCTGCTGCTTCTTTGCTGCGAATTCAAAATGTACAAAGTGAGTGGACACGAGCGAAAGGCTCGAGAAACAAGAAACAGTCTGGAACTGCAACGCATACAGGACCTTCGTCGTCGCAAATGCGGCCAACGGTGTACAGGATACTCTGGCGCAGGTGCAGCTCCTCGCTCTCGAGACCACTGCTGGGGTTCATCGCGGTGGGTTGTGAGTCGTTTGGTCGTGCACGATTTATAACTTGTGGCGATTCCATCGACTGCCAGCGCAATTTCAGGCAAATCTGGTCGAGGTTGCGTGCGAGTATGGGTGCGCTTCCTGCCCTTTTACACTACGCAGCGCAAATGAATGCAAAGATATAGAAAGCATGCGGGAGGTCAACTGTAGACTAGTTATATGTGTTCAATACTTGCAAACTCAGGGAGGAGGGCAGCTATGTCGATCGGTGGTGGCGATGTTAACTGTACAGAGGACTTACAGGTTTGGTACAAAAACTATTCTTGAGATGGGTATTCATTCGCATGCATTGGTCGAGTCTAGTACCGATACGACTGTCCAAGTTGATATGAATTTCGGACAGATACTGCATCAGATGGAAGGTGCTATCACATTTTATATCCGTCGACGCTATGTTTATCATCGTTGGCTTCGGCACACCTGATAGATCGCTCATTTGAAAACGGTCGACCAGGTCTACCCGCTCCCAGCCACGACAAACACTCTAACAGGTACATTTGACAAAGTTCGTAGGATGCCGTCACGAACAAAAGCAGCTGTAAACCTGACGCTCAAGCAGAGAAAGAAGGTGTGCGCGTGCAATGAATTCATAACCGCTCGTATACAACTCCAGCATGCGACAAGAACATTGCAAAAACGAAACCTTGTGAAGGAGCCGGTCCAGGTGCCATATCTAAAATCTCGCGTGCTCGCAACCAGCATTATCTAGCGGGATGAGGCAGACCCCAATTGCACTCAAACGTGGCCGCTCGACTTTGCAACAGTCGAGAATGTGCTTGCCAACTGCGTGTTGCAGTGCCTTTCAAAACATGCGATGCAAGGTAGAGATGTAATCTAGGCGAAAGCAGAGCAACCTACAGCGCCAAGTGGATTCCAATACGACCATCGATTGCTTTTTCGAATAGACGACTTTCTGCATTCCTTCCTAAGGTCAGACACACTATGGTCAAGCAAATGAGCGCCTGCGGTGAAAGCAGTTCTGTGAACGCCGTGTCGATACGTGCGTAGCGTGTCGCGCCACGAGCAATCGTGAGAGGATTTTATCTAGCTCACACCATATGGGTGGATGAATCAGAAGTAATTTACTGCCTCGCGACCGACAAGGCAATCGTTGGCACCAGATGGAATTTCATAAGACGGCAAAGACTCTACTTATTGACGCTTCAATAAGCAACGCAAAGGGCTCAGACAAACGCGAGTCTTTCATTATTCGCCATGCTAGAGAGCCTCGCTGGTAGATAAATAATCGGAAGATAATGGGGTTCTACATCCAACTAATTTAAATGGGCGACGATATTTAAGCAAATGTTTTAGGAGTTGCTGCGTGACATTCACGAAGGAATGCGGGCTAAACGACGCAGACTTGTACTTGTCCTGGACAATACATAAGCACAACGCTGCTCAATACGGAACAGCAAATCTGATCTGTTGACTTTGTTTTTTTAATTCGACATCTCAGCTGCAGCTAATCAGAATTGGATTCATTGCGTCAATCGTGGATTCATTGCGTCAATCGTGAGTAGGTGCCGGTGTTTCACAGCTCCAAAAAATTGCTTGGTCTGGGCGAGTCTGATCCCATTGTAACATTTTTATGGTAGCATGTCTTACAACAACAGGGGGATCAAAATGTGCTGTAAAGAGGGTCCAATCGAGGTCAATCAACGTTTCTTTCGGCAAACGGACTTGTACGCGGTCGTATGACCACTCGCCTATCGCATATCGACGCATTTGAACAGGAAATACCAGACTACTCTTACACTTTGTTCAATACCTGTGAGTCTGCGACCCAGTGAACAATCTCGTTTTGATTTGCGGGCGAGGATGATACAGAAGTGAAACGTTTCTACTGCGGACCTGATGAGTACGATGGGGATGTCGCGTTCATGTCCATAGCCTAAGACAACGTATGTGACGAATACCTATGCCGAGTCTGGAGCCACATGCAAAGATGTCTCCGGTGCTCCATCAGCGATTAGCAATGAAGGTAAGTTGGTCACTATGAGAGTTGAGATTTGTGTACGAGGAGACCGTCCATAATTTTGTAACCTTGTGGTGGTAGGCATGCGTACGCTAGCATTGTCTACGTGATGACCTCATAGTACAAAAGAATAAGCTCCTGCTCATGTAAAAAGCCGCAGCTTCAAATCTGTCAAGCCCACGATACAATAGCAATATGTTTCAGCATATTATAGTATTGACCCTTTGTGGCTGCACGTAAGCGATTTCGATACTTGCCGAACATTTTCCTACTACTAAAACTAGCTAGGATTGATTCGCCAACAATCAAACTACATCAGCGTTCGGTATAGAGTGCATACATACATCGAAGTGGCATATACACAGTTACATCGTCTTAACATGCCCCAAATTTTGGGCGACTAAAACAATTTACGTCGTAGAAGTTTGCCCTCACACATGCAATTATCGTGCGTAATTGCATTTGATGTCTTGTCTGTCATGAATGTCTGCACGCTGGCACTTGTCCACCTTCTCGCTTAGTGTCGAAGATATGGGATGCCAGACAACAGGGATGCTATCCAATCAATGAAATGAACCGGAATGTATGAATAAGTAACTAAGCCCAGCGTGGGACAAAGATTACTACGATAGTATGCTTCACACGGTATCGTGTACTAGATAAGAGCGCACATGCGAATGATAACTTAACTTTAACTTTGTATCCACCACACGCCTATGACACAGCCAAAAAAAAGTTGCAAGCCCGTGTGAATACTTGACACAATCATGTTTAATTGAATTACTTCACAAAATGACTGCTATAAATTAGGGATAGTAGGAAACAGTCGATATACTTCTATAGTATAGGTACAGTGAATGAGAATTCGATGTGAACTACTAAGATAGAGGCCATTGTCGATGTGTGATTCTTCACGTCGCAATTGTTTTTCTTCTATGCATAAAGTAATGTATATCGATGTCTTCGTTAGCTCATGCGTAACATATCAGAACAATCAAGCCATAGGCTCTGAATCGTGCAAAGAGTACAATAGCGTTTACATCCATAGGCTTTCTATTTTTAGTCAAGGTGGTTAAAATTTGGCCTAGAATCTACCCAGTCTTCGTCAAAGCTTCCCATAAAACCTTCTTTTTGTTTGATAACAAATACGATGAATTTCTTAATCAGCTGCAGACCTATCGTATTCGCTGTGTTACATTCCGAAGCAGTATTATATTTCCGTATATTCGTGTGCCTGATACGTAGTGTAAATAATGTTATCGCCCAAATATTTGCGTTATATAATTGCTGCGCCATCTGCGCTTATGTCGAGACACTTTATCGATATTAGTGACACAAAATGAAGCTTGAAGCAAACATGGATGATGGGCCACAATAAGCATTGCCCAATTCTGCTGCACTTTCTTCGACTGAAACGCGTACATGAGCACTCCAATCGCTTATTTACGGACCGGACGGCATCATCAATCATTCACCAATCAAGCGTTTTGCGTTCTCATGGTTAAAATACTGGTGTAATATTTTGCAGTACTGAATCAGTATCTGTTGCAAACTCACGCACGAAGTCCAACAATTTTTCGCCAAAATCCAGTGCGGGTAATCATTGGTTAAACCTTTGACTTATTCGATGCCTCCCCTGCTTCTACGTCTTTTTTCCTAATTCACGACGAAATTACCTTATCTATAAAGAAAAAGTACATGAGGTAATTAATATCTTAGATAGAGCCGAATATCGACGTAAACATTGATAAATATCAAACCAACACAATAGCACATAGTAATTTTGCCTGTCATCAAGTCCGCTGCAAACGTTCGTTCAAAAAACCTCGTATGTGGTTCAGCACGCATTCAATAAAACAGATTTGTTCATTATTAGCGATCAGGATGCCCAGTATCCTATGTATTGTAATTCAATACTTGCACAAATTTCCAAGGTCTCGCGTCTAAAACGGAAATCACCGCTGTGTTTTGTAGTTAACTTTGTACCCACGCGAATCAGATACTTCATACGAGATAAACGATAGTTTCTGGTTCATGCAAACAGATTGTATCACATAGCCAAGCCTGAACGAACAGCAATACAACGACCAAATGGTCATCAACACAACACTTCTGCTAGTGACATTATCGCAAGCGAATGTACCCCATCTTTGCGATAATGTCACTATCAGCTACACTTCTCCGTGAACACTGCCAAATATGTGCACAGTAATGCAGAATAATTAATCACTTAAAAGCAGTCATCATGTAGGTTTGACACTCCGGTTTGCCCATCCACGAACCCGATGACTCAAGTCGCACTCTTCAGAGCATTTCTGGGAGCATCATTACAGCTTATTACAATCAAGAGCCTCATACGAATGTGAGATCTCTGTACTTGGCCGGTAGGTTCATCCCTATATGGACTACAATGTTTGTTCGTACCTTTGGGCTCGAGATGATAAGGTGCACCGTACGCTGACCGAGGTCGAAAAATATGGATTTTTCTTGATTGAGTTCAGCAGCAACTTACAGACGGGTATAAGAGGAAAAATTCTTCTTAATTATACAAGCACTTAACCTGGTAACATTTAAACGATGACATGAGTCAAATGTGAAGTACCAGTCATCGTTCGAGCAGCAGACTTTTGCTGTGCACTTACTAATTCTGCTTCATAGACCTATGGGGCCTCACCTTTCTGCATCGTCTCCATATTTACAGGTGTACGGGTAAACGTCATTCGCTAAGTATAATGTGTAGCATGTTTAATCTTGCTAGGTACCCACGGTATCGTAGTACGCTGACATGAAAATGTTTGAATAATCTTGATAAATATTCACCGCATACAAAAATGTTTACGGCCTATACGCGGCCCACTTTTGTAAATCTGTTCTCCAATAGACTTCAAAGCGCTCCACTTTCCGTATCAGCAAGATCAATTTTTCCTTGTGTCAGGTGCTAGTGGCCTTGGCTAGTGCAAAATATCGATAGTCGTCTACGATAA